TCTCCTCCATCTTCTCAATTATCGGTGCTCTGGGACGAGCTGTTATATTCGTGGAAATGGAACAACCTACAGCAACGAAAGCTCTAATTTTCTCTTCATTTTTCTGATCTCCCTAATCGATGACAGACACTTAGTCTTTGATGTGCAAAAAAATTGATCCTTTTGTTTAGGCTCAGCGAATGATTGTTAATATAACGCATTCCTTCCTTACCAACGGGGTCCGATAAGAGAATAATTTAGATATGCGACAAGTCGTATCGTTTCTTCTTGGAACTCGACAATATAACCAGATGCTCGGTATACGTTCCAAAAGTGCGAAGTATCGTATTAAAAATTCCCATTAAACGCGTAAATTAGGCCAATGGATTCGAAATATTGCATATGTACGGTGTCGGCTAGCGAATAGGAAATTATATTTTAATAGCACACTGATAGTCAAAAAGAGCGATCCAGTTTTCCCTGATTTAGTAAAATCATTTCATAGGAATCGTAATCTACAATTGGAGAATAAATTATAACAACAAGAATAAAAATTGTAGTCATTATTTTAGAAATATTTTTTTTTCATTACGTTAACACGTCCCGAATTGATTATTACACGCGAAACGTGACAATAACATAGGTTTGCATATTACGCAATGCTCTATGAATTATGTAACGAATCTCACACTACAGATTGTTTTATCTGTTTGTAATTGGTATCCATATCAGTTCTGTAATTTTTGTCACGTACTAGTGTAACGACTTCATTTTCTAATGGATATTATTTACGTGAACGAATATTTGTATTTAAAAACGATTAAATCGTTGTAACGTTGGAAGGAAATGAAAAATAATTTTCCAAAATTAATATCAGTTACAACATAAAATTACTAAAACTTAAGGTGAATTAATTTTCTTTCACGTTGAAGACTTACTTTTGTTACTAACAAAGAGTTTATTCATAAGCAAGGCACGTGAAAAAAAGAAGGGATATTAAGTATGAAAGCGTTAGGGAATACTATTTTTATCCTTTCAATAAACTTTTTCCGCATAGTGTCATTAAATCTTAAAATATCAACTTCAAAGCGTGGCATTTTAATTACAAACACTTTATTATGAAAAAAAAGTTCTTCGCGATAATTTTACACTCTTAACAAATTCTTTAATCAATTCCTTTCGTGAAGTATTTGTTAACAAATTTAATATTAATAATTAAAAATTACCAACTCCTTATTGTCCTCACATTTTCTGAGTAAACAATGTTTCCAATGTTTCAACCAATCGAACGCGTCAATAAACTTTACATTGCTAGCAATCAATAAACCAAACATAATAATATTTTGCCAACGTCGTAGAAAAATTCAAGACCATCGTCACAGTGACTCATCGTCTTCAAGCTACCTCTCTTTGCAGCCCTATATTACGTTTCTTTTAATCATTCGTCAGCGCCGAACGCAGCACGAGTATAGTCGGTGGAAGCAATACAGCGAGGTCGTAAAATCAGTCAGATGTCAAAATAATAGAAAATTTCTGTAACATTATTAAGCAGTGTCAGTTACCTATTACTCACAAAAATTAGTCTCTGTTCTTTCATCTTAGAAGAGTAACTCTTAATCTAACTATATATTAGGTTGTTGCATATGAAACGATCGATTTCACAACTGCGCAAGGTTTTCAGAATTGCGTTTTTAAATTTGCTACCAGATAACATCAATTTACATCTAGAAGTTAACCAAAAGCAAAGCAAAGTAAAGCTCAAAGCTAACCAAAACCATCTACCATTCAATAGTGAAACAATTAGACGAATAATCACGATCACGAACTATAAATAGAGATCGAATTTCACTGATTACTTTTTATAGCAACAATTCAAAATGAAACTGAAGCAAAGAACGTTTTCAAATACCTCCTTGCACCTAGAAATGAGATTTTTCATTTAACAAAGGCATAAACAATCTTGCTTTCCGATGGTAAAACTGATTAATAAATATCATTTTTATGAAAACTACGGACGTGGAAAGTTTCGCTGATATCTCGGTCGTTTCAGCAACCTAATATATCGCTTCCACCAACTGTACACACCGTCCAAAGTCAGCTTGAAACTTATCGGCCGCGGCCAGGGAAAACTTTCCATTTCCTTTCGAGTTTAGCACCGCTGGTGCCAATTAATTGACATTTCGTGGGGCCGAGCGTGGGTGTTACTGTTGGCGATTCCCTTTATGCAAAGCAACCCTGTCTCGTAAAGTGGCCAATAATAATATCAGCACAGTGTCACCCTTTGGTCCGTTTGCTCCCCGCCCGCCTTCGTTCCAGTCTGAGCGACTTCTGAGGCGTCCTAAGATTCCGAGAAGTCTGGATCCGGATTAGTTCTACGCGGACGTAAGGGGTTGTGCTTAATATATCAGAGTCGGATGTTGGGGTGCAGCGGAAAAGAGGATGGCCACCGTTACACACAGCTTCGAGCCTATGGTTCGCAGAGCGAACGGGATTACGTGCACCCGCGACTTGTAAATAGACTTAAAAAAAAATGACTGGTAAAAAAATGACTGGTCTCTTTCTCTGATTTTCTCTCTCTCTCTCTCTCGTTTTTTAGCCTATGGAAAGATGAAGAACACGCTAATGACACGTTCTGGTGATGGTCTAAGGGTTACGTGTCATTTTTAACTTCGTATGCGCGTGTTAATTTGTACCGCTACATTGTAACATGCGAGGTTTGTTTTCTTTTTTTTTTGTGAGTGAAAATTTCACTTTTAGAAATGCACTGTCAGTCAAAAAATGTCAACGGACACCTCGTTAGAATTAATTTAGCATTGTATTACAGAGAAAGTAGTAAATAAATAATATTTACGTTATTTTATTTGGAAACATAAGATTTACTATTTAATTAAATAGTTTAAAATAATAATTAAACAAATGAATCTAAATATAAACAGATACTATTTGCTTGTAAACGAGAAACTAACTTGTAATTGCCCTTTGGAGCCTTGTTTCTAAATATTTTGCTGAATTCTTAGATACTGTTTTGGTCAATCCATAGATGTCCTCTTAAAATTATCACATTAGTCAAGCTTCACTTTTCTACCATTTCCCTACGTCAACGAAACTAAAATGATGATATCGTCGGCATTTGAACAAGACCGCCAACGCTTAAGGCGAGTTTCTAAACACGAACTGTCCCCGAAGTTGGCGAGGTCAGATTTTCCAGACTGCACGGTGCTCGCGAATAATAGCTGAACTCTTAGAACTTGTTAAGATCCGCGACAACCCCGTTGGAGGGGCGTTATCCGTTAATTACTCATTTTACATTTCAACACTGGCCTGCAGGAATAGCGTTTGGATGAAATCTAAATTAAACCTTTCTGGAAATTCTGCATTTCCTTATTGCTCTTTGCCCGGTTTGAAGTGGCCCGCGACTATAAATCACTGACATGTCGTGCAAACGGTTTTACATCACGTTAAGCCGCAGTTCGTTAGAATGATGAAAATTGCAATGATAATCTGGGTCGCGTTTAATTACAACGAATCGTTTCTTACATCCCACCGATCAGTGCAACGAAGGACTGTCCTACCGCTAGAGGGTAAGAAAGGACGTCGAAATTCATTCGATCAGTTTTGAAATTTACCTCAATACAATCCAATACAATTCGATGAAACTTGTAATAGAAGTGTGTGTAGCTATGGAATAAAACTAATATTGTTTATGTATGGTACTTCAAATTATATGTACATATTTTCACTTTCACCATGAAACTGTTTTATTAATAGTAGGTAAATGAACAGTTCAAGAAAAATTGCATGAAATAATTCACATATTCATAATTGTAACATTGAATGCAATTTTTCTTCTGAACAGAAAAAATGTCCGATGGGATTTGAATCTGGGACAAAATACAGTAGGATCTCCTATAACGCGGGAAATGCATTCCGTGTTATACGAATTTCATGTTATACAGGACCCAGAGCGCAAAAATATACAAAAAATTTAAAAAAAATCTTAATTCTATTTGCGACATGAGATTTTTTAAATATACAGAATAACTCAAAGTGAAGAAGGTAAAGGCAGGTAAAAGTAAGATCTAACCACTCTCAGAATTGTATGTATAAAATTAAGATCCAACGCTTTTTGGGTGCTGAAGTGCAGAAATCTTGTTTTACCCAATGATTATTTTCTATTGTTAAATACAGTTGTAAAATTATGTGAAAAATTAATAAAAAAGCAACGTGTTAAAGGCAATTCAAACCAGATAATCCGAACGGTTGAAATTCCGAGACCTCTTAAAATTAATGAGACTGCGTTCCACTGAGATTCTTTAAATTGCCGCCATTTCGGCTGATTAACCCTTTATCTATGCGCAAACTTCGTCCTTAAAACCGATGTTTTGCTCTTCTCCGATCGTCGCTCTGAAAATAGAATGTAGCCTTCATCTTGATCCTTTTTAAAAGTTTCATCTAATTCAGTCTAGTTCGTAGAGGCTATTTCCTGTGGAATCAGGAGGCATCATGTGCCTGCGCTCCATTTTCGGCCCTATTCCGAAAATAAACTGTCTTTTAAGCTTCAGTCGTGTCCTGTCATTATCGTCTTGAGCAAACCTAAAGAAGATATCTGTTCTTCAAATTTCTTCTTCAATTCTTACGAAACGATATCACGATTAGGGTAAATCCGGGCGAGATAGATGCACCAGTGGTAGAGATTCAATTCTACTTAAATTTTGAAATTAAAATATTCTTTTTTACCCAATTTTCGGTGAATATTGGCCACCTTTTGTGAAACAGCCTAAAATTTTAAATATATTAATTTTACTTTGATGCAATAAATAATAATAGTAACGTTCTTAATATTCCTTATATACCAGATTTACCCCATATGCGTTGTTTTCCTTGCTTAGAAAATTATAACAGTAACACGTAGATAGGAAACCGGCAAGAGAATGAAAAGTGATTCATTTTGTATTATATCATGTATTCTTATCAGCGATTAAACGTTATTCTTATTTTTCCTTTTCTTTTCTGTGTTACAGCACAAATATGCCTCTGCAGGATATTACAATGAGTCAGACTTTACCATTAATGATTGGTAAGTAGGAGGTCACAATTTTATATTTCATATTTTTACAAAGAAGCATGTTAATACTAAATTCCCTTCGTTATTTAATCTTATACTTTTGTTAGAATAAATCGTTCCAAATGGACGTTTAGAGACCACGAAAAACATTTTGTTGTGGAAGAAAGAAATTGTTTATTTAAGGTCATTTTTCTCTCGAGATTTTCAAGTTCTTCAATAATTCTTTTGCTGGGGATGAAACGATTGATAAATCGATATATTAGAATAATTTATTCCTAAATGGAAAAAAGAATTTGTTTAATGTGCAAACTGTCTTCTTAAAAGTATTCATTTACAGTATTAGAACTAGGAATAATGAGTTAATTATTGGTGCAATTGTAAACGATGGGAAAATGTCTTCCTCGACTTTCTCAAATTAATTGCGGACCATTTTCGCTGTTCCGGTTGCGAATGCATAGATCACGTAAGTGAATAATGGTAGATAGTAAGTTAAACTAGACTCTATTTCACGGTGCTTACTGTAGAGTGAATTTGACCACTGCATTATCCATCTACCGCATTCAAATTCAGTCTAAATGTACGCGGTGTTAAATGTCAGAGTAATTTTTTAATACAGCCTTCCATTAACCCTTATCTGGTCAAGGCGAATCTAATAGACTCACACGTCTAGGTTTTTAACAATATTTTGAACAGTACTTGAGAAATCCAAAATTCCTTCTATGAATTCTTCTTTTGTATCAACTGAATTATAGTCCTGTAAGTGAAAAGTGTTCAAGATTTTTCGGAAGCAAAGGAAACATTTAAATAATTTGCTTAGGTATGTAAGTAAACAGTAGGAGTCCATCAGACTCTATGAGGTATTTTTCTAGAAACCTCCGCGTACATTATACAGGGTGTCCCAGGTTTTAATGGCCAAATGTTGTCAGTATATTCCATGGTCTGCTATTGTTTCCTTCATTTCGTATTACCGCCATAACTTTTTAACGAAGCTCAAAAATACATATGTTCGTATAACATTTTGTTATTATTTCGACCCATAGAATATACTGATGACGTTTGGCCGTTAAAACTTGGGACCCCCTGTATATTATATTTTATGTCCATATAGTTAATTTAATCCTGAATAAGTAACTAATTAAGTAACTTCACTAATAAATGTAATATATGAGTAACTAAATCAGACATTAATTGAGTAAGCAACTTAATTACTTATTAATTAATAAGTAAGTAATTTAATCCCAGTAAATAAGTTTTCAAAAAGTTCTGAGTATTTTTCAAAATTTATAATAAAAACAAACTACACCGTTTACCAAAACCGTGTGTTAATCTTGTTAGGACAGCAAGGGGATGATTTTATGATACGTGATTTCTAGTTCAGCAAACCGTTATTTTTAATTTAGCAGACTGGTCTGCAGCCAACATGCGGCACGTAGAATTTCTCAAATATTAAAGAATAGGCTATTGTTCAGTCAGTAAGGCAAGGTATCATAAAGTCACCCCCAAAGGGTCTTCGGAACCGATGCAATTACCGAGGCCTCTCGGTACCTGACCTTCCGAACGAGTCGGAGAGTCAGAGTTGACCTGGCCGCGTTTTCCCCCCCTTGTTGTCAAATTTTCATCCAGCAAGGACCAGCTTCGTCACCCCCGCTCCGGGCGCAATGGAAGGGGGTGATACGGGGTTGGTCACTTAGTAATTTTAAGAACCTCCCTTCGCGTCCCTTCTTCAAATTTTCGAAGATTTGGAGAAGGGACGACTCGATAAGAAGGCCGACTTAGCTTAAGGCCACAGAGTGTTAGTACACAGACCATCAGTTACATTGGGAATCTTAAGGATTCAGTCAGACTCACAACGAAACATTCAATCTTTAAACGGCACCTAGTGCAATATTCGAAGTACGCGGAAATTAGTACCCGAGTGCTTAACAATACTCATATATTCCAACAGACTCCGACTGTCCGTCCACATTACATAAATAGATTATCTGTATAAGGGTTAACAAATCCTCAGAACTCGAATTGAACACTTTTAAATAAAAAAAAGGAAACCAAATATCCAAGTGTTCCAAAAGTGCTATCATATAAGCTGCCAAAGTGTTGCAGTATAAAAATAACGAATAGTCCATAGAAAACGACAGACATTTTTATCGCAGTAAATGATGCGTTGAGATAAACATCGTGATTGAACGACCAATGACTCGCTAAAATTTTTTCCAAGCGGCCTATCAATTATCAAAATGGACCGGATATAATTTTACGGTTATATGATCAAGACAGATCATTGCGTAAGAGTCGATTGTATTTATTACCTATAGACCAGGGTCGAATAGGCGTGTCAGATGCAGATATCTCTGGAGATTAACTGATTGCTTAAACGAGAGGTCACCGATATTGGGGTTGACAATGGAACGATCAGTTA